ATTCCCGCTTAATGAATTTCATTGATCGATGGTGGAATTAGCTGAAGATGGTAATTTATTTTTAGAATATATAATATACTCATAATGTATTTGGTGAAATATAACTTTTATTAAGAATGCTTCTCATTAATTGGAATTAACCAAAATTGGTTTTATAATTAAATTAGTGGATTTTCTTATCATACAATTTGTTAAAAAATACATACTTTAGTAATATTGAATGCCTCATTGGCAACCAAGTTTTGAAAAAGAAGCAACCGGCTAACTGAATTTTAAATGGAAATTAATTAAATGCTGCATTTTTTGTATAAAATTATATTTTATTAGAATTTGTGAAATAGATTTGTCAAATTCTTTGCAATTTCTACTTCAATGACAATCGTTATATTCAATCACACTCTAAGCACGGCCATATGAACTGACCATCTTCTGACAGTCATCCCTTTTTTTTAACAAAAAATATAAAAACCTTAATAATATGTTACGCAACAAGTATGCTAAAAGTCATTTTACTCACGAGTTTGATTAGGCATGACGGGAGCGAGTGCTTCATAAACGAGTGAACTTTATCAACTTTTCTACGACCATTAGTTTTTCTTGTACCGTACCTTCAGATATCAAAGTAAACAAAAAAACAAAATTTAGGGTTAGTAGGCAAGTTTTTTTTTCAAGTGACGTATAAAACAAAACACTATCAATTTTCTGACGTGTAATTATATGCATATTATATACGTGTTTAATAGAATATCTTATTCCGATTACAATAATGTAACATACTTTACATTTTAGTCCACTCGTTTTTAACAAATGGGCAAAAATTGGAATTTTTATATAATTTCAAACAGTGCCGTTAGTGACTGCAACAACAATATTTTTTTACAAATGAAATTAGAACAAAAATACTAAAAATGGCGAGAGACACTAAAGTAAAAAATTCTTTTCTCTGCTGTATGTGAACACTATTCTCTTGAACACATTTCTCATACACTCTAATTGTATTTGTAGTGTATTAGTAACGTTTGATTGCTGATTGATTGCCTCTGAAATGCTTTGCCAAAGTTCCACAAAAGAAAAAATCCATTAAAGTTAAGTCGGTGCTGCTGGTTGGGCAATCCATAGTTCCGCCGTTCCCTATCGTCAATCCCTGGGATATTCCATGTTAAGAACATTTTAATTTGCACAACATTGTGTAATGAACCTTCTATATATTGTTCTACCGAAAACATCCGATAGCTCCCAAACCCATGACTAAAGTTCCGAGAATGTCCGAAGTGGCTCGCGACCGTGGGTGTGAAACTGACTATATTATTACTCATTCGATATGGCAGGCATGTGATTCTAAAACAAAAAAATGTCTTTGAATCGGTTTGTTTCGTTTTTACTGCGACACACTGCACATGAATTATCCAAGTATATTTTAAAAAAAGATTCTTAAAATTTTGAGTAATATCCGAATATTGAAAAATAGGAAGTTCAATTTTAAAGTTTCACATGATTTCGTGTAGATGTGACAACACAAAATTGCTTTTGTCAAAATTCTTATTCCTATAATATTTCTAGGGAAGAGAGCAGAAAAAAATGCAAGCGCAATTTGGTCAATGCAATTAATATTAGTTAAAATAACAATTAAACTCCACAGATCGTAGACAATATGTGGTTGGTATAATTCGGCTGAGCTAACATCTGACGCATCACTTCAGGAATCCCAAAAATGTCCCAGAAAAAGGACATCCTGAGACTAAAGGTAACATAAACTCGCCTTCGTTTATATATACGAGTACATAGACCATCAACATTCCACAATTGTTCGATTCGGTGGTGACTCCACGTGCCCGTCGAAGACGGCTGACCCTCCGCCGTTAATTACCTTCCCCAGACCACGCTGTTGGACACGATGACATTACCGGTACAAGAAGTTTTACTTATTGCAACCGTTGTCTTGTGCCAAGCACGCGACCATTTCGTGCCATTAAAAGGTTTGCTTTAAAAGGATTTCCGGATTTTTTTCAAACTGTCGGTATACCAGGTAGCAATATAGGTACGGGGATGGTTCCTATAACTTTTTGCTTCATTTTGAAGTTTATTACAACAATGAGTAAATATATAATAGCATAATTGCTTACCGGACGATTTTTTTTGTTAAATTAAGAGTTCCCGAAAAGTTCTCCCTTTAGTTAGTTCCAAGTGAGGTTCATCTTAAATTTTGTTTTGGTATTATGAAGCTTTGTTTTTATTATATGTTGTGGGCTGCATTACAATTTTCATACACAACAGACCAACTGAGAAAAAAACATTATCGCAGAAAGAGTACATGCTAATCATGTCAACTTTCCGTTTCAGTGTCACAGCTTGCGTATTTTCATTCGGCAGTGAAAACAAACAAAATGCAATTTTTAATGTGCCAGTAAAATATTGTCTGTGGTGAATCTGCACGTTCGGGTGATTCTAGAAATATTTCGGCAAATGCGGAATTGTCACATCTATCCGAAATCTAGTAAAATATTGTAATTTCAAATGTTACTTCCTATTTTTTGATATTCGAATATAAAAAAAAACGAAACACAGCAGTATAACGACATTTTGTGTTTTAGAATCAAATACCCGCCTAATGCGTCAAATTTGCACAAACTGGGAATATTTTACAATAACCCTTAGATGTGGGGAAAAATATTTTAATATCCCAGGAATTTATGGGTTACTCAATGTGGTCCAGTAAATATTTTTAAGAATTTTTAATACTCTTAGAATACCTAATTGACTTAACAACTCCAGTAAATGTCTTTCTTTTTTTACGAAAATTTATTTTTGGTCGTATAGGCAATCTTGCGTGTAGTTTATTTATTCCTAGTGGATGCCTCCACAGCGTGTAGGATTTTAACTTAAGGTAAAACTAACCAAAACAAACAATGACTTTAAACTGTTATATATATATATATATATATATATATATATATATATATATATATATATATATATATATATATATATAGACATATATATATATATATATATATATATATATATATATATATATATATATATATATATATATATATATATATATATATATATATATATATATATATATATATATATATAGGAAATAGAAATATAGGAAAATATGGAATACACATGGAAGTTATTAAGTTTATGAAAATATACATAAACTACTACATTTTTTAATTGTTTCTTTTTGTGTCTTTGAAGCATTGTTAAAAAGAATAATTGTGCATTTTTGAACCAAAAAAAAATGTTTCCGGATCATATGCGTAATTATAAAATCATAGCGATTTTCTATAGAAAAATAATAATTGATTTTTTTTTTATACTATGAGGTATTTTAACATAACTTATTTTTTGTGAATTTATTGAAATATAGAATTATTTAATTTTAATTTAATTAAAATTAGATTATAAATTAAGAAAAATGTAAAAAATACGCGCATAGTCGAAATAAATTTCGGCAAGTGTACGAGATAAACATCAATAATTGTTTACTGTATCCTTTACTATGCCATACTGTACTGTACACTGAACACTGTAAAACACTCCTTGTATTAAATTCAGCAGTCAACAAAAATTCCAAGTACCTATTCCGTTAAAGCTGCTTAATTTCAATTACCAAACTTTTCTTCTTCTACGTCGCACACACAATTCTTAAAAATATTAGGTTTAACATTATTATTTTTATTTATTTCCTTAGGTTTATTGAATGGACTAATTTTGATTTTATTCGTACGTGTGACAGAAACCACGGATTGAATGACAAGACCACCAGTCTGGACAAACGGCGAATAAAAAGCTTTTGTTGCATAAGGATATCGTATTTCTTTCGTTACAAACAATTGCCGTTTTCATTAAGACCGCTTGATGCTGCAGGTTTCTTGTTTTTAATTCGAACGTGACGAACGGTCAAAATCTCTTGGTACTTCAGCCAGCGTCACTGTTAAATTCGAGCTGCAATATATTTTACCCACCTGTTTAGTTCCTTACAATTTTCATAGCTCAGAAGTTAATAAAAAAAATGTTGATTGTAGGGGATTTGAAATCATTCAATGTGTTTTTGGCAATTCTGAAAATACTGCATTGTTGTGCTACAATTGTTTTTTCATTTGTATAAAACTTTCTTAGTGAGACTTTACATAGGGTGGTATAATGAATAAATTCATCAAGAACGAACCTTATATTATACTCGCCTTAATCGCGAAACTCCGAAATAGTTATTTCTCTATTATTCCTTCCATATCGACTTGAAAACTCAGATTTGCGGGATTTTGGAGATGGGACTACATTATATTCCCTTTTTTTTAAATTATGAGGCAGTCACGATTTTTTAGTAAAAAAGTTAAGCTACATTCATTTCGATTAAACCCAAAGGTATTACATAGTAAATAGAATGATTCGTAGTCGAAAGAACGTACCAACACAGACGCCAATATATAGCAAGGGTGCGATACCCCTCCCAGTCACCGGCAGTACTTCTTTCCGATTAGTGCTTTCAGCAGCTTTCGTTGACGTCACCTATCACGTGACGAGCAGCGCAAAGCTCGCTCGTTGCGAAAGTTACGATGGTCAGGCAATCATCAGTGAACCCACAGACAAAACGTTAGTTGTTTACAATACTCGGTCGTAACTGCTGGTCGCGGTTTGACACCATTGGCGATCCCGCACTTAAGTCTGGACATTCATATTTTGTTATCGGTAGTGAACCAAAACTTTAAGTACGTGCCAACCGCATAGTTCGGATATGGATACCACAAGAGAGAACATAAACTTTATGCAATACAAGTTAGTCGTTTCTGTGGTTTGTCGGATTTCGCTTCTCATTTCGCAGCTGTGCTATTTCAAATCGTTTATCTTCCTTTATCTTACTTAAGCACAGATAACGGTATCAAAACTATGATAATGGGTTCAATCTTAAAACACCTGTTACGGTCAAGGTGGAGCTTTTTGTTTTATTGTGGTCTTGTTTGTGTTTTGCTTAAAATTTTGTTTTTCAGCCCGGTTTACGCGAGGAACCCGTCTCAGTTTAACGGATCGAATATGCATTATTACAATACTGGATCGCCTGAACTTGTATCCCAGAATCACCTCTGGCCTAATACTGGTAAGTACATAGATTAGTTTGTATATAAGGTTACTTTAACTCCAAAAAACGTTGCCAAGATATAGAAACCACTTTTAAAAAGTTTGCTTTATTATAGAAGTGATTTTTTTGTATTAAATTTTAAAAAGTCGAAAATTTCTTTTCTTACATCTAAAAATTTATAATTTTTTCAATTACTTTTTTTTTTTAACAAATTGTTTCAAATAAGCCGATCTGGAAGAAATTAGTTATTGTTGGCGACATTTGGTTTTTTCTTGATATGATAGTGAATTTTAGTGAATGTTTTTCTTTTTAAACAATACAGTAATTTTGTTTTTTATTTCTTTAAGTTGGCATATAATTATAATTTCAATATTTTCAAAAAATCAAATAACAAAGGTAAAAGTTTTTTGAAAAATAATATGTTGAAGAAAGTATTTTACTAACAAGTGGATATAAGGTTGGAAGACTAGAAGGCCTCCTCTCAGTTCTCTCTTCTTCTTTCTATTCTCTCTCTGTTCAAAAAGGCCAGAAATAAGAAGAACATGGACATGGAAATTTACTTCATTTCTGCAGCACCCTGTATAGCTCTAACTATTTGCATTAACTTAGTTTAAATCGTTACTTTCAGCAGTATCAAAATGCAAATAGCGGGTAAGATTTTCCGAAAGACCATTGCAATACAATTATTGATAAATTGGTTAAGGCTTTCGCGGCCCGTTGATATGCTATTATCTTGGTTCGGGTTTAAAGGCCGTCGTCGATTGGAATTACTTCCTAACGTTTCGCTAGCACGAGTGGCGAGCTTCTTCAGAGGTCCTTCCATCTCCGATGTTGGACGTAGACTGACAGTCTACGTCCGATAATAGCTAATACAATTATTTTTTGCAAAATCGCAAATATTTAAAAAACTGTTAATTTGTGTCATAATATATGTTATGCAAAATGTGTTTAGAATTAGTGATCATACAGGGTGATTTCTAATTGAATGTCAGTAACTGAGGAGGCGACTTTTGGGTCCATTTTAAAAAGAAAACTTTATATAAACATATGTCCTAAACGTTTTCACTTTTGCGATACAGGGTGGTAAAGTTTTCAAAAATAAAATGTATTTTTTTAATAACTATAATACCGCTTTAGATATTTTATTGAAATTTGGAACGCCACTGATTTTTCTTAAAAAGAAAATTAATCTTACAATCTCCAATCATTCCTAAAGAAATTTAATTTCAGTCAGTGGCAGGTCACTGATTTCCTTAAAACAATGATATTTGCATTCATTTGCGAGCAGATTTAATCTCGTAATATTTTTTTAGTCCGTCGCATGGTTTTCATATGTCAAAATATGCAGGTGAAATTCCGTACGGCCGCCACTGGTGTATGTTAAAAAAATTGTGGTACACTAAATAATACCTCTTAATACATAGTACATGTGTGCCAAATTTCATTAAACTGTCTAAAGTGGTATTACAGATATTCAAAAAATACATTTTATTTTTGAAAACTTTATCCCTCTGTATCTCTAAAGTTCATATAAAATTTACTTTTTAAAATGTACGTAAAAATCACCCCTTAATTATTAAAATTCAACCAACACCCTGTATAGTAGGTTGCATAAAAGTAAACAATTAAATCTTCTTACAAATTTATGGGACATCCTGTATACATGAAAGTCATTTTAGGCTATCTGCCACTTTTTCGAGGTTAATTTTCCAATAACGCCGTTTACAATCACTCCTATATTAATATTTTTTTTTCATTCAAAAATAATAAACGGTTTAAAACTAATTCGATTTTATAAATTGTTTTCAATTCCTTTACAATATATCTTATGCCATTTGCACATGAGTTTACCAGAAATCATAGAGGACTAGTTATTAATTACTCCCTCCTGGTCAGTCATGTTTTTCCTTTAATTAAAAACCAGAACACGATAAACCACTTTCAGAAGTATGAGCGGTTTAATTTTCAATTTTGTGATTTTTTATACACAGAAATGAAACTTTCCGAAGCAACGGCAAGACAGGGTCAGGTCCGGACCAATTGTTATCTGCAAATCGGTTTTAAAAAATCGCCAGCAGACTGTTGCGAATGTATTGAAGTAGCATATTATACACATACATTATAATTATCTATCTTTGGCAAGAAAATAAATAATAATAATTATAATAATAATAAACATTATTAGCGTATATCAATTTATATATTAATTTAAATATTAATTTGAACTATTTTTCCTTGCGACTGAGTCTCTCCTGTTCACTTATATATTAAATACTAGAAATTAATACCTACCTGTGGCAGAGCATGTTCAAGTTTTTGCTTTACTTTAGTCACGAGTAGAGCGAAATTTATAAAACTGTTCCGTACTATATTTCTTCTGCAACTGCCACGAAAAAAAATTACAGCCCCAATGCATTCGCATGAGGAATGGCGATCAGGTGTAGAACGGTCGAAATTGATTCACATAAAAATATCATCACTGTTTTAATAAATATCTTTAAAAATATCCTCAGTACGAATTGGCTTGTGACAGTGTTTAATGAATCGGAGGTTTTAAAGTGCCCACGCCTGATTAGTGCATAATTGGATATTTTATGATATGATATGATGATATGAATTAAAGTAGAAGCAGTTAACGGGGTGCAAAAAGAAATAATCCAGGAAGTAATGACGTCTTCTCTAATAATTATAGGCATACAATTAAAAACGTTTAGTGTGGCAACAAATGCCAGACGAACAAAATAATTACGAGTAATCAGCGTTTTCACGACCCGATCCTGGATCGAGAAAATGAAATAGTTAATTAGGTATTCCAACTACATAAGCAATTTATTCGTCTAGGCGTAGTTACAACACCTATCATTATACGTTCATCCAAACAATTAGTAATTTATCACCTTTAGTACAGTAATAGGTATAAGTTGAACATTTCAATTATTGACATATAATGTAGATGTTTCATAAACACTGAAAGCTTTGAAGTTGGGTGATGGATGTGTCGAATAAAACTGAAATTAGGATCTCGCCTATAATGTCGACCTCGCTGATTATCCAAATTCCAGGAATTTTATGCACAGTGGAAGAAATGCAAATTAAAAATAGATTGCTTAATCAAATTAACGCTTTTATCGAAAAAACTTATCGTTCGCGCGGGTCAAATGCAAGAAGCAGGATCAGCGGCGATAACGAAATTTTCGTTTTAAAAATTAATGGCAGACAACAAGTTGTGTGGTGTTTTTCGCCTGCTATTTTGTTTCGGTTGGACCTTAATAACAAACCGCTGATAACATTTTTAGATTCGGTTAACAGAACGAGGTGTACCCGCTTGTGCAGGCCTTTGTTGCACTAATTTTTAGGTCGATTTAAGAACAATTACGAAAAAAAGCATCGTTAACGAAAAAGTGATTATTTTTAAGCACATTCTTAGAGTGTTATATTATTTCAAATTATAGGGAAATTTAAAACCTAATTGCTCAAGTTCCAATAAGCTTTGGGTCACAATTTTATCTTTTTATAGATATTTGACCGTAATAATATTAAGCACAACGACAAAATCTTTTTTTTAAATCACATAAATTTAAAATAACTTCAGAAGGATAATTAAACGCAAAATATTTATTTAACATCATAACTATAGTAACTGATAAATAATATTTTAACTAAAAGTCACACGACAAGCTTAAAAATATAGAAAGTACGGACACAATTGATCAAAAAACAAAAAATGCCTTTATATATATTTGAAATCTTAGGAAACTCCACATTTTTTATTACAAATTCGAATTCTATGCCATAAAAGGTCAGGTTTTGCTTGAAAGTCTCTGTTAAATTCTCCGATATACACCAATGTTGTGACTCCCCCACTTTTGTGTTATCACACCTTCGTTTTCACATATTTTTCTATTCCCTACTCTAAATCCCTAATTCTATTCTATTCACTTATGCACTATTCATTGACGAATGAGTGTCTGAAGAGGTATTGCTTCCTAAACTGAGGTCAAAGTACTAGCAGTGTTTTAAATCTATCGAAAACATTCGATCGCACATAACTAGTGACTAAAATAGCAGAAACGATCGAATTCGCTCACGACAATGTTTAATAAAGTTGGTTGATACTTTTAAAGATATCTTTTTTTTTATCAATTATGTAATTCTCGAAATATTTTACCGTTTTCATACTTGGTTTTTATACACCTGGTATATTTTTTAAATGGTTCCTAGACAAACCCTCTAGCGTATACCTGCTGGGCTAGTTGGTTCATGCATGCATTCTTTACCTAAATTATTTTCTTGAAATTATTTGGCAACATATGTCACATATTTTTATACAACTTCTGCTGAGCATTTGATCCGATTTTTATGTTCCTTAGTAAATATTTCTTTTTTTTTCCAAGCAATGCTTCACGATATTTATTAATGTTTGAAATCAAGTAGGTTAAGTTACGTAAGTAAATTGATATTTGGGGAGCGTTCATTGAAGAAAATTAGTTTTTCTGAAAATGACTTGGGGAATATGTCTGTTTTAGACTGAGTGATGGATATTTATATGCAAATTTAAATTAATTTTGATGATTTTGAACAAGTCTTATATAATAAACTCGATAAAAACTTAAAAACAATATCTAACCCTGTTTGGTTCAAATTTTATTCTAAACGCCTGAATTTGAATGACTGCTCTCTATTTATAATTTACACAGTTTACGACCGCGATTGAAAGGTTCATTTCTTAAAATTTCTTGCGACTAAAGTAACGTTCATAAAACTTTACGTTACTAATAATTACTTCAAATGAAAGCCAAATTCTAAATTCATTAAACAATTTCATTATAATAGTCCAAAAAATGACTTCATTTTTTTTATTGCTAATGGCGGTCAGCTGTGAAAATAAATTATAACAGACTAAAAAGTTTGCCAGAATGAAAAACGAAAAAAAATTATTAAACTTTAACACTGTGCACTTCAGTCACAAAGCGTTTGCTGACACAGTTTTGAAAAAAAATATTATTATTATTACGGTTATCGACTTATATACGAGATGTATAAAACAGCTGACGTGAATTTAAAAATTTTTCACGAAACTGAATTTCAGAGTCATCTCTTCTAGGTGTTATATTCTATCTATTGAATTTGTTTCAAACTTTTGAAGAAACCCTTATTAAGTCTTTCTAACGTTTTAATATACTACCTTCTTGTTCACAGTTAATACGGGAACGACTCTTCCGTTAACTGAAGATTACCAAAAGGTCACCACTACGACAAATTCTCTACCGGGCTTCAACAGATTGCCAACCTTTCAGGCAAATAACAGAACCCAGGCATACTCGACATTATACCCCGATTTTTCGTACACCGATCAAACTGCAGCCTACAACTTGAATCCCCAAGTCTCCTCCAGAAATAGAATGTCCGCCGCCAATACGTTATCAGCAAGTAAGTAGTTTTTTTTTATACCGAAGACACGGTTAATGCAAAATTAAAATCAAATAATTAATTCTCCTAGAGGTTTGGTAGAAAGAGATATTCCTCTTTCGGAAAGAGGGAAAGGAATGGGGGTTCGGTTGATATGCACCTGCTCGAAACTATTAATATATAAATTCGACCAAAAAAAGCCTCATATTATGATGCACAGGTCGTTTGAAAATATACACAATAATTTCTTAACCTCTGAGATACTAACTAACACTACTCTCGTTCTTGAGTGAATCGGCCTGTGTACAATGTGTCTCACTTAAGAACTGTACACTCTCGTGAAATCTTTGTTATGGATCGATTTTGATATTTTTTTTATTGGATATATCTCTGAAAAAAGCACTAAAATCATGCGACTATTTAACAAAACATTGTGAAGAGAGATTTACTATTAGGGCTTAAAAAAATAAATTAATTGGCAACGAATTCTTATTCAGGACTACATAAAACCTAACTGTGCTATTTTACATGAAGTTCTCTTAAGCATTACTCCTGTGTAATGTTTATTTACGGCTCAATTTTGATAATTCTTTTTTGCTGGATAGATCTTGCTAAAGAGAAATGGAACGATTTTTTCACATAGCTTCCACTAAAGTTATGACTAGCTGATACAGTTTTTTCAAGCAGAAAAACGAGAAGTACTTTTGCAGATTTCTTCAAATTGAAAATGACAACAAATTCGTATTCAGGACTACCGAAAAGTAACTAAACCAATGACCAAAGTTTTTAATGTTTTAAAAAATTAAATATTGTCAACCTTGTAAATAACGATTATTTTGTATGTGATTTTAGGATGTTACAAATTTTAATCAAACAAATTTCAAAAATAATGATAAAAAATACTTTTTAAGGGACACTTATTTCTTAGTATGATCTAAAAACAGCAGCATTAATAAATCTTAGTATTCGAAAACTATAATATACACAAAATCAAAATGTAATTTAGGGAGTGAATTTGACAGTTGAATATTCCGGTCTCCATATCAAACTTGGTTTTACAAAGGAAACGGTATGCCGACAAAAATCAATTTTGATATTTCTGTTATTTTCATTATTAGATGAGAATTAAGAATCCTTTTCAATTAAAGAAATACAGTGTTGTAGAGTCTGTTGAATCCGTTTTTAATCACCTCTAATCATATTTAATGTTAAGAAAATCGTTAACGTCTTTTAGTGCAATCGATCCAACAAAAAAGAGTATCAAAATAAACTTCTCGGAAATTATTATTGTTAGGTAGGTAGGTTAGGTATTGTTAAAAAATGTCCAATAGTACTTTTCTCTTCTCTCTCTTTTGTTAAATGTCTCAGTTGGCCATGACTTTTAATTGAAGCAATAATGAAAAACAAAGTTTTAGTGCATTTTTCAGAGACAATGAACAAATATTTTACAAGGGTGTACAATTCTTTAGTGCGACACACTGCATACCAACCTTCTAGGAGTAGTAATTCTCTGGTTTTTAAAGTAAGGATCCATTACTAAAATTCTTCCGGCTATTACTGTTTAACTAGTGTTTTTTCGGAGATGTATTGAATTTTGAAAAAAATAAAGGGAATTTCGAGGATAAATATATGTAGCCTATATTTTGATGGTAAATTTGTTGAAATAACCTGTTTGCTGTTCTTTGCTTAAATATGGATCTAATAACACTGTCATAAATAATACGTCACTAATTATAGCAATTTTATATTTTAATTATTTCACCAGTGTCTATTTTCATAATACTTTGAACAAGATAAATTTAAATGGTTTATTAATAAATAATTTGTGAAAGGCTGTAACAGAAAAATCATTTACTGCGAAAAGGACGGGGTGGTTTTCAAAATGGGTGGCGATCTACCCGCTTACCTTATCATTTCGTACATAGTATTCAGTAAAATCTTTACTGACGCGCCTCGTCAAAACTATACTTATCTGGTGAAATTACCATACCAATGGGTTATTAAAGACCCTTTGAATAAAAAGCTTCAGCTAATATTCAATGTTTAACAAATATTCGGCGTTAAATAAAAAAAAAAACGCTAATCAAAAAACATCGTAATTTAGTTTAACCGGTACCTTTTATTTTATTTCAATTATTTTAAAAATCTGTTAATAGTTCCATTTTACTAACATACTTACTAACATAAGAAGTATCGTTGACATCGTATAGAAAAATTTAAAAACAGCCTGGTTTGTAAGTGGCAAAAAACCACACGCATACCTCATGTCGTGTAAAAGACACCCAATGCTTTCACGCCCCTTATCTGTTTTATATCTGTTGGCATTTATACACAGAGTGTTACTCCGAAAAAACCTGTGTGGAAATATTTCGACGTAAAGTAAGAACTAACGACATCTACGAATCCAATTGAATTATTTGTTTGAATTGAATAATTCCATTGTTTATTAAAATTAATAAAATTTGCTGAAGGTAATTTTTCCTAGTCGTAACACTAATGGTATACTCACTTCTATTTTGCACTTGAAGGTTATTTTAAAAACATATTTAGTAGTATTTATTTCTTTGAAAATTAATCCTTATGCAAATATTTTTGTAGAAAACTTGGTAGTTCTGATGGGACGGAAATTGATCTTGTGATTTCTCAACAAAAAAATAGAGAAATTGCTTTTTCGTTTTGCCATTATCAGGGGAAAAAACTCTTATCTTGGACGTAACGTGCGACTAAAAAACATCGAAAGAGGCATAAATTACAGGTGCCGAGCTATTCACTTGCAGTGTTCTAAGATTGTGCTCTTGTATTTGATATGATAGCAATTTCAACAACATAGTTTCTACATGCCTAATGCAACGCCGTGCGTTTTTGTCATAAGTAAAACCTACCTACAGTAGCAGTACCTACTTGTTCGACCTAGTTAAAGTTTTTTCTTGTATTACCTCCTCTTTAAAAAGCATTTTTGAATAAAATAATATCCACGAATTGGTATTAAGACTTCTGCAAAGTGTTCTAATTTTAATTTAAGGCACTATTTGGTTTGCTACTATTAAAAAGGTAAGGTTTATTACACATTTTCTTAAAAATTCACTTATATTTTTGAGTCAATAATCGTTAAATCCAAAACATCGAAAATATTTACCAATAACTTAAAATTTGAAAATTTACAGCTAACACCCTCAAAGGAAGTTTATCTATATTAACGGATAGCCACAGAATATATTTTTTAAATAATTGTCACAATAAACATGTGCACATCATTTCAATTAAATAAGAGGGATCCACATTGGCCTATGAATTATGTATTTTATTTTATTCAAGAGCCGTTCTTTTGTCGAGCTTAGAAACGCGCAAAAATATGGATATTCGATTAGGAACATTTGGAAATATATTATCCAATATTTATTTAACGGAAACAATGAAACAATATTGAATTCTGGATTTGAACAACTCTTAAGAACAACTGGATTTTTTTTTCTTTGGCAGTGTAATAATCATACACTTAAAACTGTTTTTAGGGGAATGAGCATAGTTTCAATAAAACACTTGTTTGTTTGCGTTTAAAATTGCCGTATCCTCAATTTATGAGCTTCAGGTAATTCCTTCCCTAGCACTAGCGACCCGAGCCTCAACAAATAAAAAAAATTTAACAGGCGTCAGAAGTAAACAAATGCGATTATAATGGGTATCTTTTAAAGGCTGGCCGGTTGAAACCGCAAATTAAAAACATGGACATTCAGCAGATAAAATCGTACTGACCTAAGCTAACTAGCTTGGTCGCTATTCCTTTCCAACACTGCAATTTCTAAATGTCCTAGAACTGAGTAATTTTTAATGATAAGTTTAATGATGGCAATAAAGTGTCTGTAATCTTTGTTCTGAAAATAATATCTTATAAAAAATGTTTAAACGTCTGCATACTATACCTTTGTTACGATCAGTCGTATTTTGCAAAATGGTACTTGACAAACGTCAAAATAGCATCAATCGTTCCCTACTCGTGATTAAACATTCGTTTTAAACGCTTTAAAGTGACACTTTGCTCACACATGATCATTGCATAGTTGGGTATTTTAAAGTAGAGTGTTGAAAAAATAAAAGAAGCACTTTACTAATTAGTATTAACATTATCACCCATAGTGAAAGCCTAGAAAAGATGAATTAGCTGACAGACAATAAATACATGAAAATAAACAAAGAGGTAAGTCAGTGACACTTATCATCTCGTTGACATAAAAAAAAGCCAACATTATTTAGTCGAACTTTTTCGATGAGTACAAAAAACCGAACCAACCCCTACAGTCACTCGACTAATATGTCGATACCCTGACGTTTCCTGTCTTTAAATTATTTTGTTGGTAAAGTACCTTTGGCAGGATTTTACCTGTTTCCGTTCAGAACGGTACGATCTATGTGCTTTCGGTAAACAAAGGTCGACACTCAACATTATACGGAAATGGTTTCATTGTCATTGATCTTTCCAAAGAAATCATTCACTTTTAGGTATTTGCCGATAAACGATTTTCCGATTGTTTTAGCCTTTGATTGAGGATATTGTACGATATTTGTAGAAGACACTAAACAATTTTCTTCGCTTTTTAAATTTACGTCGAAAAGAAAATTGGTTAGATTGGTAGACAAAATTTTTAACTCGCGTGATCTGATTTCTAAAGATACTTAATTTATTGATTCACTTAAACTAAAAAAAATACAGTAGGACCATCATGGCGTGCAACTTTCAAAATTTTAAAACTTTCTTAGCAATTCAAACGTTGTTAAAGCACGAAGACCACTTAATGCGGTTTTGAAATACTGGAAACATTTTGCGCTAAAGTAAAAGATTTATAGTTACCATCCCTTTTGGATGGGACCGTAAAAAATTGGCGCCACTAATGCTCACCACTTCGGTGTCGGGTTTCTAAACATTTCGGCCCAATCGATCAATCGAGGCGACCTCCTACAAAACTTTTTCTACGGGACAGGTTTATGCTAAATTTTACGAGAAAATTATGACCTCGGCCACACAC